TATTATTATTCAGTGAGAACTAAATCATTATCATACAAAAATCTGAGTCATTCAAAGAAAAAGCTTCATTCACAGACACAAATACAGGGAACGAAAGAGAGAGCTCTGAATTCAGCCCTCTGAAGATCATCTCTGATACCAGCAGGGGTCTGTCACGTTTCTCAAACATGCAGCTGAGGCAACGAACTGAGGAATTTCAGCCATGAGGTGTCACACCCCCCTCTCTTAGCTGTCCAGCAGCCACGACACATCAGAGCTGATTGGCCCAGTCAGGAATTCCCCTCGCTTCTTACTGGCTGTTGGCGGACCAGATGATAGCATATGCAAATATCCTCTTTGTGGCAGTTGAAATCCCAGAGTGCTCTGCAGCCCCAGCAGTAGAAGACAGACAGAGGAGGAAGGGGTGTGACAGCAGCAGCATGCACTTCTAGAAAAAGCTGATCTGCTACAATCCAAAGGAACTAAAAACACTTTTTTCTTCTTGGAAAGATTCATTTTTTTATTCCATGAGTGCTGCAAGGTAAGTACAATTAAAGTAGCTTGTTTTAGGTTTTGTTCAAGTAACTCATGAGATCCTTAACTTGTAAAAGGAGTGAATGGTCGGGTACTTTTTCCTTGTGTATGACTGTTTAAAATTTTATATGTAAAATTAAATAATTTTGGCTGTATAAAAACAGGATTTTCTTGTGTAAATCAATTGTTTAACAATGAATAAAAAATTGAAAAGTTATGAGATGTGAACTCACTTGTCTTTTTCCTTTTTTTATTCTCTTCCTCAGTGTGCTCACGTCTTACAGCCCATCAGCAATGCCTGGCCCCATAATGACAGACGTGGCAATGAGATTCTACATCAGCCACTCTCCACCTCCCCTCCGAAGCTTCATCAGCTCCTATGGGGACCTGCAGAGGGCCAAAAACAGGGTCAACCAATCTAAGGCCCGCAGCCAGCGTCTCTACAAACCCCTGCGGCCCTGCCTCAGCAACCAGCACAAGTCAGTGGATGATGGCAACCATGTTGCCTGGAGCAAAAAAAACACCAGCAAGAAGAGAGTGGTGTTTGCAGACACCAGGGGCTTGTCGCTCACTGCCATCCATGTTTTCTCCAAGTTTGAAGCTGAATCGTATCAGAACAAGCCAGCTGACAGGATCTCAGAAGAGCTGCAGTTCGACATGACCGACCTGGAGACAGCCACCATGGACCTGAAGATCAGCTCAGTGCGCAGCTTGGCGCTTGACTTTAAACAGCCCTCAGCTGACTACTTGGACTTCCGGAGCCGTCTAATTCAGAACTCCATCTGCTTAGAGAACTGCTCGCTTCAGGAGCGCTCGCTGACCGGCACTGTCAAGGTCCGTAACATTGGGTTTGAGAAGTCCGTGCAGGTGCGTGTCACGTTTGATTCGTGGGCCAGTTTTACTGACGTGGACTGCACCTTCATGAACAACGTCTACGGTTGCCAAGACACAGACACCTTTGCATTTGTTCTGGAGTTGCCCGTCTACATCCCACCACAAAACCGAGTTGAGTTCTGCATCTGCTTCAATGTCCAGAGCCAGACCTACTGGGACAATAACGATGGCAAGAACTATGCTCTCAAACATGTCGGCTGGAGTGGAGAGAACATGATCACAACTGCTGAGCAGGAGAAGCCCATTGAGTACAAAAATGGGGGTGGGAAGTTACTGGAGCTGGGTTTTGATCAGTTCGGCAGCCCGCGCATGTCCAGTGGACTCTTCCCAGGATGGCAGAGCTGGGGTCAGATTGACAACACAGTGCCTTATTGGTGAGGACATCAGGTCAGGATGTTTGCTGAACTGGCACTAATGGAGGACAAATGTATGTTTGAGCTCACCTAGAAACTGGGACTGAAGCAAACAGTTTCTGCAAACAAGCCAGACAGAAATGGAAATGTAAAGAGCCAAACTGATCTGATTTTACCTCTAACCTAGTCATTTGGACTGATGAATAGTTAAACAGCAGCTGGAACAGGAGGATGAATGTCTGCGGGAGTGAAAAACTGTCCTGTTTAATGTGTAACGTACTGATGTGCCTTCTCATTGTGCCTTCCCACTCAAACACTGATTATAGAGCATGATCCTGAACCCCTTTTTGGGGACCAGATGCGTTAGTTTAGTGTGCACTGATTGAGATGTCCCATAATGTGGCATCTGTAAACCAAGCTTATTAAATCTTTCATATTGAAGGGAAAGTTTGAGGAATGCATGGCAACAGAACACTTAGAAAACGTATGCACACCTAAAATAAATGTTAATGCACAGGATTTCATATGGCCTCAGTATGTAAGCCATGCAGTCATTTTCTTTCCCTCCATATAAATTGCACATATTTGTTTGGTAAGGAGTGATGTCATTCTGAGGTGAAATTTTAAAAGGAACCTAGCTGCTAAACATCAGAGCTGTCACAAGAAGGTAATTGCATGTTTGGTTTGCTGGAATAGGAAAGGTATTTGGAAATATGTGATGTTATAGTACGTGCAGAAAAGAAAGTATGAAAAGTTAGACTGTGTTTTATTACAAAGTGCAATTCTTGATCATGAGTGTATATAATGTATAAATAAAATCCTGATTTTTCATTTGTTTTTATTTTTAAGCATTTTTGTTTTGTCTCACTTGAAGGTGCATGTTGCTGACATGTGCCATGTTGGTTTTATTTTGTCTTTTTGAAATAAATTTCTATATTTGTGCTAACACGTCAAAAACCTCCAGACTCCTTTTTTTTTTAATAAACATGCAATTTATTTCAACAATAATAAATGTGTTAAATACCAGCATATACTGAAGGTGGATACATGCCACCCACCACATTACATGCCAAAGTAAAAAAAAAAAAAAAAACATAAAAATTATGCAAACTGTTAATGCACATACTATTTAATATGTGTTAAAGATTATTGCCAGCTTCCATCACATGGATATCTGTAAAACTCACTAATAATACATTTTGTGCTGGCTAATGTTGATTAGTTGTGGCTGCCATCTTAAATCGAGTTGACTTCAAAACTTAATTAGCTCAAGATATTCATCCAATGAATCACTTAAAAGATTCATTAAAGTCCATACAGTGAAACTATTTTCTAACAGAAACACAGAGGCCATTATTTCCATGGTAGTGGAGAATAATTAATATCATGTTTTATTTATTTTTATTTTTCAAACTGCTTCATTACAAGTGAGAGTAACCCTTAAAAAAGGAAGTATTGTATCAGGAAGTTTGTTTAGCTCTGTTTTACCATAGAACACTAGGAGCTATTTATAGATTCTAATCTACCTAAAGCCAAAGATGTGGGATCTGTTTGTGAAGAACTGGAGAAACAAAACAGTCATGTTTACGAACACTGAAGATTAATTTTCCGAAGACATTTATAAGGATGTCTATGCTTTCATCCATCCATTATCTTTACCCGTTTCTTCCTTTTCGGATCACAGGTGTCACTGGTGCCCATGTCCAACCATCACTATGCAAGAGGTAGGGGACACCCTGGACAGGTCTCCAGTCCATCACAGGGCCACATAGAGACAAGTTCAAGTAGGTTTTATTATCATTCGCATCACATGTGGTACATGTGGTGGAACAAAATTGTGTACACAGGGTCCCAGTTACACCCAACAACAGTAAAAATATGAATTGTAAAAAGAAACAGTAATAAGGATTTAAGATATAAACCAAGAAATACGATAAACTAAGAATACGCTGAACACTAATAGTGCAAAACAATATGCCGATAAACAACAGCACCAAAATGAGTCTGTGTGAGTAGATGATTACAAATTAATACGATCAGCAACACGAAATAATCAGCAGCATGAAATAATCAGCAGCACGTATCACCAATCAAAGTGACATTATTGTGATTTTTTTTTTCACATTGATTATCCTGGATAGAGATTCATGAGTTTAACAGCTTCAGGGTAGAAGCTATTCCTCAGTCTAGTGGTTTTGCACATGCTCCTCAATCTTCTGCCTGAGGAGAGCGGGGCAAAATGTGTGTGTGCTGGATGAGTGGTGTCTTTCATGATGCAGGTGACCCTCTTCCTGCATCTGGAGGTGTAACTGGCTGTGATAGTGGGGAGGCTGACTCCAACAGTCTTCTGTGCAGCCTTCACCACTCTCTGCAAAGCTTTTCTTTCTGCAGCTGTGCAGCCTCCATGCCACACGTTGATGCTGGAGCACAGGATGCTCTCCACTGCACACCTGTAGAAGGAGGTGAGGATTGAGCTTCCCAGACCAGCTCGCATCAGCCACCTGAGAAAGTAAAGTATCTGATGAGCTTTCTTGATCAGGCTGATAGTGTTGTTGCCCCAGCTGAGGTTGTCATTCAGGTGCACACCCAAGTACTTGTAACTGGAGACCACTTCCACCCCAGATCCTCCTATTTTCAGTGGGGGTAGGTGTGTTTGTTTCATTTGAAATCCATGACCATCTCCTTCATCTTCTTCACACTGATGTGAATGTTGTTCTTCCTGCACCAGTTCTCCAGGTGTTCCACTTCCTGTCTGTAGCTGGACTCATTGTTGTTTGTGATGCATCCAACCTCTGCTGTATCATCTGCAAACTTTACAATATGGCAGCCTGAATGGGTAGGTGTGCAGTCATATGTAAGTAGAGGTAACAGGAGGGGGCTCAACACATAGCCCTGAGGGGAGCCAGTGCTGAGGTGGATGAGGAGAAGTTGTGACAGAAGACAAACGAGAAAAGCAACCATTCACTCTCACTCTCACCCTCACCTAAGGTCAATATAAAGTTACCAGTCAGCCTAGCATTCATGCTTTTTGTCTGTGGGAGGAAACTGGATTATCTGGAGAAAACCCACGCAGCAAAGAGAGAACACGAAAGAAAGGTCTGGTAGCAAGAATAAAGATGTGTATGTCTTGAGAGCGCATGCTGTAGCTCTCAAGACATCATTGTTTTGTACTATTGGTGCTTGGTATATTCTTAGTTTGGTATGTTTCTTGGTTCATATCTTGGATCTTATTACTGTTTTTCTTTACATTTTGTATTTTTGTTGGATGTAACTGGGACCCTGCGTACATAGTTTCATTCCACCTCATGTAATGTGAATGACAATAAAGACACCTTGACCTTGACCTTGATCATTACCTGCAGTGTCCCCTTAGTGCCTACCGAACTTGGCAAAAAAGCCTTCTTTTTCTCCACTCCTGTAACCTGGAATAACTTGCTCAAATATCTGGAGTTTTCGACTGTCAAAAGTAATATTATGTTCAAGTTCATGTTATATTTTGTGTGATTTACTATCTATGAAACTGGTTGAGGTATGACATTTTTTATGCTTTTAAAGTATGTTAATTGTGATCTCCATTTTAAATTGAGTTTGCTCTTAAAGTAAATCATTTGTTAAGAAATATCCAAAGATAATTTCCACAAAGTTTTATGAACATCATTTCAGTGGTTTATGAGATATTTTAATTATAAAAAAGATGAACATATTATTGTCTGCCTTCTCCTTTTGTAGCAACCCCAATTTAACCTATGCTTTTTTATGTAACAATGCAATGAAAATAATTTTGGAAATATTATTTGGTAATTTTTAGTTTAGTTTTTTTTTTTTTTTTTGTAGGATTTGTGAGTAAAGACTGCCAGATAAATCAGGGTCTCATAATGTTGGTCCTTCACGGTGGGCTGTAAAAAACAGTTGTTCACGTGGCAGCCAGAATGAAAGTCACTTCTTAAATACCATATGCAAAAATCTCCTTCAAATACACCTTTGCATGTTTTTATCCCCCTGCATTAAGACCTTATGTCACATGTTGTTCAGTTTGCAGGATTCATATGAAATAATTAAACCTTGAGCTGCTTTGACTTCACATCTCATTTTAACTTACATTTGGAGTCAGGATGAAAGCCAACAGAAAGCCTCAGTGGCCTGGAGGAGTTATCTGGTCCTGTTCACAGTGAATTCATTTTCAGCAGGAAGAAAGCTGAACCACCTCTGTTTGGCACGCACAAGAGTCCTTGGGTCGGAGTAGAATGATCATCTGAAGCCTGAAAATTCCTGCTTTATCATAGCTTGAAGTCTTTAATACGGCCTTGTTTTGCTTTCATGGGTATTCTCTTACAAAAGAGTGTTTTTAGATCTCTCAGCATATGGAGGGTTTTATCAGTTACAGTGCCCAAACTAGTTTAGCCTACATGATCAGATAGAAACTGGATACCTAGAAATGTTGAGAAAACTTAAGATTTTAAAAGTTGAGGTTTTTATGATTTTAAAAGTATTTTCACACAACAGTTTAGTGCAATTAAAACACTCTGTTGTTTATCTATGTTGTGTTTTTTTTTTTTGTGTGTAGATATGAACACAGTAATTACACTTGCATGACAAAAACAACCATATTTGGACCATTTGGTTCCAATTGAACTCCAGAGCACTTTATTTTATAGCATAAGTGTTATCTGATATAAATCTGACACACAACTGCTGATGTGTGCTGCAAGTTTGTGCTAAGTGGCTTCTCGTATCCACGTATGCTTTACATTCTGGGATGCAGTGGCAAAACAAACTTTAGTAGCTAACCTAGAACCCAGGATTTGCATGGATGACAACCAAATACATTGTCAAATTGATATTTAGGCAGATGACTAAATATGTCAGCAGGTACCAATTGTCATGATCTGCAGTTTAAGGTTTGAACCCACGCGCAGGAAAAGAGGTGGACTCTATAGTGAAAATAACTAATAATTTATTGAACAAAACAATATGCTGACGGGGCAGCAAAAATTGCTTTAAATATGATACGACGGGCAGCACGGTGGCGCAACTGGTAGAGTTGCTGCCTCTCAGCGAGAAGGTCCTTGGTTCAAACCCCGGTCCAGGGGCCTTTCTGGGTGGAGTTTGCATGTTCTCTCCGTGCATGCGTGGGTTTTCTCCGGGTACTCCGGTTTCCTCCCACAGACCAAAAACATGCATGTTAGGCTGATTGGTAACTCTAAATTGTCCCTAGGTGTGAGTGAGAGAGTGAATGGTTGTTTGTCTCGTTTGTCTCTATGTGGCCCTGTGATGGACTTGCGACCCGTCCAGGGTGTACCCCGCCCCTCGCACAGTGACTGCTGGACATGGGCACCAGCGACCCCCGTGACCCAAAATGGAATAAACGGGTAAAGATAATGGATGGATGGATATGATACGACAGGTGGAGCAGACAGAAACCATACACGTGAAAGGATAAAGCCCGGATACCAAACGAGTGAAAACACACAGTCTAAATACTGACACTAATGAAACAGTGAGGAGCACCTGGGGTGATTAGAATAAGGATTAGCTGTGGATGATGACATGTAAAACAGAGGTGCAGGAAAACAGAAACAGCAACAGAACCATGTTACCAATGACTCGTAGAATCTCCCGCCCACTTTGGGGGTGTCACCTGACACCTGACACCCCCAAAGTAGGCCCCCCACACAACTAGGGCAGCCGGCAACGTGGGTCCCTGTGGAGCTGTAGCAGGCGACGTGGGTCCCTGTGGAGCTGCAGCAGGCAACG